TCATTCAATTCACATTGAGAATATTATATTGATGGTGACTGTTACAAATAAAGATATCATGTGAGGATAAAAGCTAAATTTGTTTCTAGGTCAGAGTTGAAGTAAATCAGTTGCAACTGTATATTAGACCAGAATTGATGAGCCTGGAGTCCAGAAGCCTCCCGTAACTCACTGTAGTGCATCTGGCAGAGCAGCTTGGCAAATTTATATCACTCCCAAGAGCCATTCACCATAGTGGAGGAGCAGGATTAATCTCCTAATTCTCCCAGCCCTTCTGCCTTTTTAAACCACCACCTATAAAATGACTGTTCTTCTATAGCATGTATAAGAACATTTCAGATCCAAATCAGTAGATGTAAGCTGTGTTTTTATGCTCAACCATAGTTTTTCAGCTGGCACAGACTCCTTTGCCCCATCTCTCCTTATGCATTGGCTTTTGGTTTGTATTTCTTTTAACCTTGTTGACTCCAGTCTTGGAGGTAACATTGGGTATATAAAAAATGTTTGATTGATTTGGAATGGTGGCCTTAACTTACATTGAACCACAGTTTCCTGATTTGGGTAAACTGGAAAAATAACACACAGCAAGAGGAAAGGGGGAACCAGGGGTCATTTCTCCAACCTGCAAGTGTTATGTTGATTATAAAGTATATAAAGGTCACTGTCAAACATGAACCAATAATTAAAGAAGAAGTGTTAAATATCAGGTAGCTTTTTGTTGAGGGTAAAGCTGGTGCAGCCTTCTAATATGTGCATTTATTTAAAATTTAAAACATTTACAGGCTGTTTTCAAGGTAACTGCATCCCAAGGTGGCTTTCAGCAAACTATATCATTTATAAATATCTATGAACTTTAAAAACAATAAAACCATAATACAAAAAGAAAGAAAAAAATCAAGATGAAAAAAGTGCAAGTAATAAAACAGAATTATACCTAGTCCAGTAAAAGTACTAAAAGTTAACAAACTTAGTAAATTGCATATAAATCACAACCTCTGAGGATGCTTGCCATAGATGCAGGTGAAATGTCAGGAGAACATGGCCATATAGCCCGAAAAAAACTACAACAACCCAGTGATTCAGGCCATGAAAGCCTTCGACAAAACATTTTCTTAATTTAAAACCAGATAAAATACTGTTTAGGAGAATTCCATAGAAAATAAGAGTTTCCTTGGTGACTTTGAAAGGCTTGAAATGATGGAGTTCCTTGATGACAAAGAAATCTCTAGGAATTCTGGAAATTACCCTGAAAAGTAATTTACTCCTGTTTTCCATTCCAGAGGGCTACTGCCTTTACAGCCCTCTTCTTTGTGCCTGTCAAATTTGTTTGGAGGTTTGTGTGGGGATCCCAAAATGAGTGAATTGTTCCAGTAACTTGGTCCTAACCAATTAAGGGTGAACACTTTATTATGCAGGAATGCATAACTAATAATTATGCCTTCCCTTCCTCACTTCTTCCTTACTCCTTGCCACCTTTCCCCTTCACCTGCCTCCTTCTCTTTCCCTCATTGCTGTTCTCCACCTGGAGAGCAGTGCCAGACAGACAAATTTGTCAGCATTGCTCACTGAAGTGCAAGTGAAGCTCCAAAAGTTTTTCTCTGGGGCTGTTGTTGAGGTGAGGGGCACAGAACGGGGCAGTGGGGGACACACAAGATCCACTGCACCTCATGCTCTCTCACCTTAAGTGTCCATTTCACTCTACCTGTTCACCTTCTGAACAGATGACTTTATATCAATTTTGCAGCACTGTGATATCGAAATATAAGGTAATATATTCTATTAATACTGCCTTATCAGGAGAGGATGCTTTCAATGAGATTACCTCCCCCCTCCCCCAAAATCTGGGATTAAATAAATGTCCAATATTCTTCATCAGCTACTGGGTTAGCTATACTTTACCAACCTCTTTTGGGCTCCTTCCCCCCCACAAACTTGATAGAAACATTGTTCATTTATGCTCTGACTACTAGCACAATAGATCTCTCCCCCCCCCCCCCCCCCCACCATGCAGCTGATACCTGGAAAAGTAAGTTGGGGCAAGGAGTTATGATCATGATAATAGTGTCAGAGTCATGACTAAGTAGTGGTAGTGAATATGAAACAGTTACAGATGAGCAAATTTAGATAACTCTTTCATAGTCATGACTTCTACTTAGTCACAATTGTGACACTATTACCACAATCATAAATCTCCAGAACCCTACTTTCAAGTTGTCCCATCAATTACATGGGAAGAAGGAGGTTCATTCTGTCACCAGGCAGAGCATGCATGAAAGACATTTTCATCAGGGTTGGGTGGGGGTCAGGCCAGGAGAAGCTATTTGGTTGAATATAATTAATGAAGTATTAGGTGAATATACTCAACTAAACCAATGAAGAATACTGACCCATGTTTAGTTATCAGATCATAGTTTTGTGCTGGATGGCCCAGTTTGTAATAGCCTATAGTTTTTGTTTGTTTAGCTGATTAGCTGTGCATAGCCATAGATCTTCTCTGTTAACTCCCCCCCCCCTCGCCCTTTATTTTCTTTCATCCTTGTGCTCCTCTTCTCCAGAGCCATCTCGTCTTCTAAAATCCCACCAAAAGTTCAGTTTTTCATGTGGTGGTAAATTCCCTTCTTTTTCCAATATTTTTTTTCCTAAAAATCTTCTTCAGATACTTTAAAAGTCATTTTTTCATAGTCCCTTCTTTACTTTTAAATTTGATATTAGATTATCATTAAACACTATTCTCCAGGCTTGTTTATACCATTCATCAATTTGTATTAACATTTCCCCTTCCCAATATTTTGCTAATAATAATCTAGCTGCTAATAACATGTTTATTATTTTTTCCCCTTCTTATCCTTCTCTTCATTTCTTTTAATCGATAGCAACATTTCTTTCAGGTTTACTCTAAATTCTATATTCATAATATATTCTATTTCCCTTATAATAATTTCCCAAAAATCTTGTACATATTTACAACCCCACAACATATGCATGTAAGTTCCAGTTTTCTGACACCCTCTCCAACATTTTTCATTATAGTTTCTATTCATAATGTTTAGTTGTCTCATTGTTAAATATAACTTCCAAATCAATTTATGATAATTTTATTTTATTCAAATTGTTATGTTTTGTTTTCCATATCTCTTCTCATTCTTTCTCAGTTATTTTTATTTCTTCTTTCTCCTTCCATAATTTTCTTAATGTTAGTCTTTCCCTCCCTGTATCCTTAATTAATATTTTATATATTTTACTTGTTCATTTTAATTGCTCAATATTTTCTCTTTTTCATCCTTTTAGTATTATTTCCTTGATTTGTGCTATTTATTTTCTAGTTTTATTTCAGACCCACCAATTTCTATTCCTTTTTTCCAGCTGAATCCAGTGGAGCCATGAAATATTTATTACTCCCAGGTCCTCTCTCATTTTTTACTTTTCCCATTTTTTATTTTATCCAATTTTCTACTCTTTTTGGAGCCATAAATCTTCTTTTTGGCTCTAATCCCTCCCCCATCTTCCAAATCTCAAAACTAATGACTTAATCACACTGGTCTTCACATGTGTCCTATGTCACTTGAAGCACACTTCATCTACAGAGCCCCACACTGCCCATGCACACTTATTTCCAGCAGGGCTCCATAGATGTACTGTGATGTAAGCTTTCTAGGGTGCTCTACCCCAAGAACACAGGAGGCTTCCTGTGTTCTATAGGCAGCAACAGGGCCAGCAAGGGGGGAAACCCTCTGGTGATGCTTCCCCATGTGTGATGGGGAAGCTTTGCTGTGGGCAATGTGTGGGGCAGGGTGACAGGAGCAACCTGTGGGTTCACCATAGAGGCTGGTGAATCCCTACGGAGCCAATGGTAAGTGTGATGAAGTCCTTAGAATCAAATGTGCAGACTTTTCTCATGCCAATACAGAACAGAATGAATGTAACAAATGAAAGAGTTACACAATGTTCAAGACTGGAAAAGGAAGCACTTTCCTATTTTGAGGACCTGCCCAGAAGGGTTCTACTCTTTGTTAATTCAGTGGAGTGACTCATAGTATCAAGTTGTTCCATAGTTTTGTAAATAAGGGACATGCCCTTCCATTGAACTGGTACTTAGACAATTCCAGAAGAACCTCTTGTGTACTAATAGCAAAGTACTGCTGCAATACATTCCAGTGGTCTTGTCTTAATCCTCATCTGATAACAGATGCATCCCCCTGTAACATATTAAAGCAACACCCATCAACTGAGGAGGGATGATCCATCCGGAACCATATTAAACCAGACTAATATAACTATCCTCCCAACTGGGAAGCTTTTGCCCTTCTTTATTTCAGCAAGTAGAATTGTTTTAGAATGACTGAAATTATTTCTTACATTTTTCTCACACCTTTTTAAACAGGTGAGGAAATCAGCTTTGTTTTCTGCCATGAAATATTGGGTTCTCTCCTGAATATGCATACCAAGTTTGAATTATTGACCTATCTGAAGTTTCAAGAACAACATCACATTGCAAATAAGAAAGAAACAAGAAATGATACTTAGAAAATGCTATGTCAAAAGTGAAACCCAAGGTTTCACTTTATCCAGTCAATTTTAACAACACACAAATGTTGCACTGAATTTGAGTGACATTGGATTGTAATTTCATAAAATATTGACACTATGCCCTATGGTGCTGCTGTAATTCTCTCTTTCTATCCTCATATTGCAATTGCCGATATCTCAGAATAGACGAATTAAAGATGAAAAGAGGAAGGAGGTATTTCATGTGTTATAATTGTTCAAATGCTGTTGAATAGAGAAAACTGCCCTTCACTTGACCAACAATGACTGTTTGACCAACAAGGGCTTGGAAGGAACTCCAGCCTCCAATCCCACCACCTCAACACATTCGACATTAACCAACAAGACCGAAACAGCGCTATCTTGCAAAAACATGTTGAGCAAACACAGCCTATTAATGGAAACTACCTGATAAGGGTTGCCACACTCTCCTGGTACAGAGAAGGGGACTCTAGTATTTCCTGAAGCTTAGCTAGTAGCCTCTCTGAACCTGGTGGCAAAGGGGATACCATGTCCACCACTATGTGCCAAGTGATGGGATTCATTGTCTCAGCCCTGGGTTTTGCTGGCTGTATTGCGGCAACAGGGATGGACATGTGGAGTACCCAGGACTTATATGACAACCCCGTGACAGCTGTATTCCAGTATCAGGGCCTTTGGAGGAGCTGTGTCACTCAGAGTTCGGGTCTTACAGAATGCCGGCCTTATTTCACCATTCTTGGGCTTCCAGGTATGGGTAGTGGGCTAATAGAGAGAGATGTGGTGAATGTAAAATAATTTTCATAGATCAATGAGGAGCAATATTTCAAATGGATTGCTAATATAAATGAAGAGAAATGTTAATTATACTGAGTAGAAGGGTTTAGTTATAAATGTAGATATGTAGTAGCAGTTTTCACCTGCAAAATTAAGATTGATTTAGTAGGTTTTTATACCTTTTCAGTTATTTGAGTGAATGAATTTGACACCATTGGCTAGATACTGTCATGAACTCATCAATGAAGAAACAATTTTTTCCACGGGGAATTTGGGTTTTCCCTACTGATGAAGGAAGATATCGAAAAATTAAGATATCAAAATATAATTTCATTCTAATGCTGGTTTCAAAATTATACTGGGATTTTATTGTGCTGTATAACTGGAGGAGCTTGTGCCTGATGCCAAGTAGATATTTAATGTATCTCTGTTATCGGCAACTTTCTGTTATCAGAAAGGGCCTGGCTTAAAACCTGGTCTAATACAAATAAATAAATAATAGTCCAAATGAGTTTGGAACAGAAAGACTATGAAAAGCAGTCAATGTGATACATGTTGCATACTGAGAATTCTTGAATTCCTTGCATTTTACATTTGATCATTTGAATTTCAGACTTATATCATATTACTAATTATTATAATCAAACTTTCAGGTGGTCAGGTTTAAATGTTTAGGCTGAAACCACTGTTGTTTCTTTCTTTTTAATTGTTATCACATATCTGAATTTATTTAAATTGATTTTACTTAGCTTTTAGTTAGTTTTTAAATGTGTTTGCTTTCTTCAAATCACTGAGTTGGGGAGAGTCAAACAATTAACTAAACATGGATTTGTCTGGTGTTTATTGCACTAATCTATTAGATATTTTGACTATTATTAGCATGATGGGATACTGATCATGAATGTACTCCAAAATGCTGAAAATGCATTCAGGAACAAAGATTTAGGCATATATTCAGGACTGGTGTACCAGCATGCCTGATCCACCATATATGCACTTTTTATTAGTACTTTTATCAGTAACAAGCAGGCAGAGCACAGAATTTGGTCTTAAATATCCATGTGGTAATAGATACCAAAATTTATCAGCAAAATATTTTCTTTATTCAAAATATGGCATTGTTGTTGGACTGTATTCTCAATTCACTTATGTATTATATAATTGTATAATATAACTGTATTCTCAATTTGTTTCTGACATGGTAAATAAATTGTTGTTGGAGGAAAGATCATCAGTGACAAACATATAATCTTGTAAAAGAAATCTAGATTCTTCCAAATCTGGGTTCTTCCATTGTGATGATGAATAAAGCATGCTCTCATACTTTCATGTTGCTTCTTCTATTTTGATGTATTTTTCCTCAGTATATAGCATAATAATGTGTACATTTCAACACAATGAAGTCCAACTCTTTTTAGTGAGACTTTCAGTTATGTGCACATGCTAGGATGAATAATTACAGTCATTTTCTTCTTATCATGAAAGACAACAAATATTTATTCGCAGTATTCTCCCTCTATTTGAATATTCCAAAATATTATGAAGTACTTATTCTATGGAAAATTGACTTTTTTGTGTGCACAAAAATCTATTTCCTCCTTAATCTGCACAAAAACCACATCCCTCTACCTCCGAATAATGTTTCTGTAACACTTCTGGATCATTAAATATTCAGAAAAAAGTGCACAAAAATTCTCAGTGGTCTGTTATTTTTCTTGACAGAGTTTCTTGACTTTCAAAAAACCCCTTTTCTGATTTGGGAAGAAATAACTATGAATATTCATGCCATCTCTAAGTGCCAGTGCAGCTGATGGGCCTGGATCAGACCATTATGCTAGCTCACAACAACAGTCAGGGCATTGCTGATATTAGCTTCATTTCCCTACTCATGAGGGAGCAACAATTTAGTTTTGAGACAGAGAGTATTCCTTTCCTTTGTTCTCAAGAGCAACCAAACACAGCAGAATGGTAGTCCTTGGTTATTGTTATGTATGAAGGAAACAAATGGGCAGAGGGAGTAGATTATGCCACTTCTGCAAACCATTGGAAGTATGTTGGTGGTTTAATTTCTGCCAGTATAACAAAGAATCTTAGCTATAATCGCCACTTATGTACATTTCATTTATTTATGTAGATCTACTCTACTTGAGTCTAACATTGGATTTGGTCTTTAAGAATTAATGTAAAATATTAGTGTATCCTAATGGTTCAGTTGTGTGACTTTTGCACACAATTCTATTACTTTTGGTCACAATTCAACAGAAACCATGGAAATGAATCATGAAACTAGAACATAAGGCATTACTAAGTCATCTATTACCTTTCTGTTTGCTTCCTTCTGTTCTGTACATAACACTCACAGTGACCAAACCTGGGTGCTGATAGCACTCTCAGTAACTCTGCATTAGTAGCTCTGTGTTGATGAATAGGAGTCTGAAAATGTTGGGATTGTTAACTTCTGTTATCATGCACTGGCTGATAAGGCCAAAACTTGTGATCAAATTAATCATGTAGCCTACAGAATGTAACAACTTATTTATTAGGTGGGCCCAAGAACTACTAAGATGGTGAGACACTCAGCCATGCCTTTGTCATAGGGTTTCCTAAAGAACAGGTTTTATTAATTAAATCTATGTCTTTTTGAAATATGGACTGGAAGACAAATCTTTATCCCCAACCCCCCAAATCCTAACTATCTTATCCCTTCCCTTTCGCCTTTCATCCTCTCTCCCTCACTATCTCCTTCCTTTCCTCTGCCTCTTCTTTCCCCTCTTTACTCTCCCCTATCCCTATCATCCCCAATCCACACAAACCAAACTTTTTTAAAAGTATATATATATATATATTTCTTTCTGTAATAAAAATGATTTAAAAAATGAGATATGGATGTAAGAGTAGACATATTTCTGTCAATACATGCAAGTGGTATAAGTCTCTTAAAGCACTTGACCTCAGAAACAATGCCATTTATTTACCACTGTAAAGAGCTAGGTCACAAAACATTCAGTGGTTTATCGACTTCCTTCATCTGGTTCATCTGAAAAACTGAATCAACTAGATTCACTCAAGTTCTTTTATTACCATTACAATATTAGCTAAGGATGAATGAGAATTTTGTTCAATTCTATTGCTTTGAAATATTTTTTTTCAAAATTCATGTTTTTTCATAAATGCCACAGAAAGTACTAGATATTTTTTTAAAAAATTACGTTGGAGAAGCAGACTAACAGATTAGTTCAACTTGAGTACAAGGTACACCATTTGGATAGGGATGTTGCAGAATTCAACTTAAATAATAATTTACAATGGATTTGATCCAAGTAAATCAGAGATAAAATATTGAGAGATTTCACTCAAAATTACAATGTTTCCAGATGTTTAATATATGACCATTCTGATTTACTATAGTCACACTTACCTTTCAATGTTGATGACAATGACCATTAGTTAGATGCTGTGTGAAGAAGAGAAGAGCCACGTTTGCAAGTATAGAACCCTAGTACATTGCTGTTCAGAAGGATGCATGCAATTCTCAATGTCTATTTAATTGAAGTCCAACATAGAGAGCGACTTTGGATGTGGACCTTTGGCAGAGGGACCTTTAATATTTAGTTCATAAAGTATCAGAAGCTTTCTGCTTTCCTGTGAATAGCCCAAAATTACTTGACAATAAAGAAATGCTACCAGTTCTCAAGGTCCAGCATCCTCAAATCAGATACTTGAGGGGTATCCACAACCATGGAATGGAATGTATAGTTCTATCTCACTGCCACTGACAATAGTTGGCATTCAATGGCATACTACCTGCATTAGACCACAGTGGCCATGCTCTCTGTGGGATGTTGGGTCTTGTAATCAAAGAGAAACTTTATCAAGCTCAGTACTGAGTGTTATTATATCTTATAATCATCCACAAGCTTCCAAGAATTTGTCTACAGCTTGAAGCCACCTAAGCCTAGTGGATTTCAGCACATCCTTTGTCTGTACATTCAATACATGAACTATGCCAGTTAATTGTCCCCTAGGGCCATAATAATAAATAATAATACAACTTTTTTTATAGACCACCCTCTCTCTCCGAGACCATGCCTATTTACTGTTATGTTAAGATTTGTAAGCAATGTTCCTTTGCCATTAATTTCAATGAGTCATTTCCACCTCTATCTTATTTTGTTTTTCAGCAATGTTCCAGGCTGTGAGAGCTCTGATGATTGTGGGCATTGTACTGGCTGCTTTTGGCCTCCTAGTGGCTCTTTTTTCCTTGAAGTGTTTACGAATTGGCAACATGGAGGACTCAGCAAAGGCAAACATGACTTTGACTGCTGGTATCATGTGTATTGTGGCTGGTGAGTTGTAGTTCACACTAGGCCTCCTGCCATCAGTTATCCAGCAAGAGAGAATTTGAATTAACAGTTTGATATTTTTTAAGGAAATGTAACACAATAGGCTAATAAAATTGGATGAAGATAAGAAATGCATACATTCTCTGTAAATAAAATTTCATAACTATACCTTCAGCAGCAAAAACATGTGCATTGTTAGGTGAAAGGCATTCTGGAATGTCCTTTATCCACTCCTGGTTTAAAAGATTTTAAAAATGAACTTTTTGGCACAATAGTGGGGAAAGACAATATTCTGGGAAAGTCATATCTACATATTCTTTTCATTCCATTCCTTTTCCAAAGGACTGCCAAACTGAGGTGGGGAGATGAGAGGAATGCTTGTCCTGACACCACCCACCACTAACTCAGCTTGTCATACTCACTGTGGCAACTCCATTTCCCAGTTTGGGACACTTAACTACATATTATTATTATTATTATTATTATTATTATTATTATTATTTATTTCCTACATTTGTACCCCGCCCTTCTCACCCCCGAGGGGGGACTCAGGGCGGTTTCACAACAAGCACCATTTGATGCCATCAGATCTTTGAAGAACCCACTTCTGGTGGATGCAGTGCTGTTAATTTACCTGGAGTTACCCTATATTTCTAAATTTAGTCATGATATTGAATTTTACAAATGAAAAGAACTCAGTATTGTGCAACATTACCATGCCTTCAAATACTTTTATACAATTTTCAAATTATAGAATGCAGAATTAGGACTTTATTTGGATTTGCAAATGATTACCTTCCAACTATATATGTTAACTTGCAAGTTAAGACTCAAGGTCTATACACTCTAGAAGCCCTTTATTCAATAAAATTATATTACTATGATTCCACTTAAATTGCCATTATTGCACATACTAGGGAATCTTTGGTTTTGTAGTCTGGTGAAGCACCAGTATTATCTCAACTGAAAAATTTCGAGATTCTATATCATATTGTCATGTGAGTTAAAGTGGTATTATAGCAATATACATGTGTAATGTGAAAGGTCCTCAGTATCCTGTTTCCCACAGCACACAACCAGATTCACAGGTAATGTATACCTGGGTGGTCAAAGGCAGCTGGAACATTCTTGTGTGAACTCCCAAATTGGATCAGTGGCTGGAGTAATGGAGCTGCAGCAAGGAAATGCTCAGCTGCTGTTCTATATCCAACAAAAAGCAGGGGAAAAGAAATAGCCTCTGCCCTACATAGTCAAATGACCACTTCCAACTAACATGGGGTGAGAATATTGTGGAATTATGTGCTGGAAACCCCTTTCTGTGGTCAAAGAGGTTATGTTAGTATAAGTCACCAATTGGATTCTAGCCTTCTTCTCCATGAAACCAGCAAAATATAGCTGGCCCTCCACATTTGTGGGTTTGTTTGCAGATTTGATTAATAAATTCTCTAGGAATTTGTAGGGCTTCCAGCGTACCATTATGATCAATGCCCATAAATAAGTGTCTATCTAGACATTTGTGGACAGGTTAGAGCCCAACACAATTCGGCTCTAGCCCCAGTGAAAGTGGAAAGTACTATGTAACACAACTTAGATGTTTAGCCATACAGTTACTTATGGATGATATTGTCTGGTGTGTATCTGAAGAATAGGTAAAAATTTAGACTCCAGTTTCTGGCAGCAAATAATGTACCTTGTTCTCCAATAGGCCTCTGTGCAATCTGTGGGGTGTCTGTCTTTGCCAACATGCTGGTCACAAATTTCTGGATGTCAACTGCTAATATGTATCAAACAAATATGATGCAGACACTACAAACAAGGTAACTCTAAAATATTTTTTATATTTAGTGCTTAGAGGCAAAATATCAGGTTTTTGGCTTGATAGGACTATATATACTGCTGCACAGTTGGGTGCATCTAATTCAGAGAAGAAAACTAATTTAAAAGTGACTCTCAATTTTGCAGTGAATTCTGGGAATTTTAGTTTTGTGTGAGGGGCTGGGGCTCATTGACAGTGTTTCCAGAACCTTCATCAAATTATATTATCCAGGATTATTTGTTGAAAGTTAAGATCAATATGCACACCAAGTATATTAGTTTTATATCAGTCTATCAGTGAGACAATTCATTGGATTCACTGGCACCATCTATATAGGTCAATTTAAGTGTATAAAAAGATATCAGAGATCATAAAGCAGCAAAAGAAGATATTCTATGCTAGATCAGATTATTTGTGCTTTGTATGGTCTACACCAGGGGAGGGCAATTTCTTCAGCTCTGTAAGTAGTATGGACTCCCTCCCGGAAGTAACAGCTGGTGTTTGGACCACCCTTTTGGCTGAAATCTGACAGGGGATGCTCAAAATGTGATGAATTGTTCTCAGGTGACCCCTGGAGTACTTGCCATAGTTTAGTAAAAATCAGTGGGGTATGTGGAGGTAATAGGATGGGTCTTAGGGGGCTTGAGTTAATTTTTCTGAGTTAGATGCACCTTTAAGTTAGAATTAGGATTAAGTTTTAGGGTTGGAACTGATGACTACAGTTTCAAGCAAAGAGTTTATTTGTTTGTTTGCTTATTTGCTTTTCGATGCTAGACTGAATCTGGGGTCTTTTACTTTAAATAATACTACTGAAGCATGGTGTCACTCACAGTAGTTTGTGGACTCAATCTATAAATTGTACATTACATTGTGAACTATGCTTATGAGTTAGATGAGCACTAGATACAGAGGGGGGAGGATGGTGGCGAGATTTCCTACACATTGTAGCTTTAATATAACTCTGCCATCCTATTTAAAAGTTTAGCCCACAAACTCCTTGTGATAATTTAAATAAGCAAAGCTGATGTACTAAGCTGTCCTGTAGCACAACTTTTGTTGTGGGGATATGAGTTGGGTGAGTTGCTTACCCATAGGAGTGAATTACTAACGTGCTTTTCATGTTCAGTGATGAGCTCATTCTTCACTAGTGGCTTTTAAGGAACTATCCAAGATACTGCACCTAATTTGAAGATAGAATACATTGAGCACAGAATTTAAAGGCTCATTCCTTTAAAGTTCAGAGTGGACTTAAAGAAAAAAGGATCCATTTAAACCAGAGTAGTTGCATCTAAATCAAAAACAACATAAAATTCCTTAAATATGGTGTTTGCCTTATATCTTAAGCCTCTCAAGGCTCAGCAGAACTATATTTTAGAACACTTCCAGAGATGCAGTATTTAAATATACTAGCTTCAATCCATAGTAAGACAGGTATTAAATTAGTTCCAATTAAATTAGTAGGAACTATTTAGTCTTCTCAAGTAAGTCTCATTTGAGTTCAGTAGCGTAAAAGTATGACTTTGTGTGGTTCCAGCCACAGATTTGAACAAACTAAATGCCAACATCCTTTTATTTTGCAGATATACATTTGGTTCTGCTCTGTTTGTGGGGTGGGTTGCTGGAGGCTTGGCCCTGATTGGAGGCATTATGATGTGCATTGCCTGCAGAGGCCTGGCACCAGAAGAGACACAGTGAGTACTTATATTTACTAATTAGATGGTTATTATGGAAGAACAATACTGGTATGTTACTTGGGGTGGGGGAGGTGGGGGGTGCTCTGTCACTCTCATCCCTACCATACCTCCATGTTCAAAGCACTAGTTGAGCCAAATCACAGTACTGTCGTTGTGCTGGAGAGATTGGTCTCTGATCTCTGAAGAGGTGAAGTGCTAACACCAGGCAGGTTTTAGATGTGCACACTAAATGCATGTATGATATGAACATCAGAGAACATGTTCAGAATGGTACTTGTATCATAGTTGAGGAAGCCTGAAATAATATTCTAGACCAGTGGTTCTCAGCCTGTGGGTCTCACAATTCCCAGAAATCCCAGCCAGTTTACTAGCTGTTAGGATTTCTGGGAGTTGAAGGCCAAAACATCTGGGGACCCACAGGTTGAGAACCACAGCAAAGGAAAATTGATATTTATAGCTAGTAGCTAATTATATGCTATGCTATGAAACAAGAAATTATTGGATTTCTCATAATTAGCCAGTAACTCTTGGCCTTTTACCACTGACATCCTATTTTTTTCTATTTCAGTTACAAGGCTGTCTCATACAAGTCTGCTGGATATAAATCTGGAGTTGGATATGAAACCAAGAAGACCCCAGTAATTGAAACAAATACAATCAAAAGTGATGATGGGAGACGTTCCTACCCTTCAAAATATGACTATGTATAGAAATAAACCCTTTAGACATGTGATTCTGTATTCTCCATACAACCCTCTAATTTTAGACCAAAGTAGAGTGTTTTCTCAAGTCTGTTCCCTTATTTCCTTTGGTTTGACCTACTGATGCTAGGAATCTCTTCCACATATATTTTTGACAGAAATATTCTCTTAGTAGGACTTAGTGGGGCCCAACATTTTAATTAACTTTCTAAGAATTGTGTTTGTCCCAACTGCATTTATCTTAAAGACTATCATTTTTTAAAAGAAAAACTTATTTACAAGTAGAATGGACAGTGTTGACTTCACCTAAAATTCTGTGAGTTCATACAGTATTTAGCTGTCCTCATCCAGTCAGTGATTTGGAGCACACTCTATAGAGTTTTGTGTGCTTTTTAGTAGACATGTATGTCTACATGTATGTCTACATGTATGTCTACATGTAGACATGTATCTACAGTGTCTTATACTGAACCCAGGTTTAAAATGTTTAAAATTAATCAAAAGCTGAGGTAAGCTATCATTTAACATAATTCTAAAAGAAACCAATTTACACAGTGCGTTATCATACAAATTTCATTGAATGTATCCTCTTTCCAAAGCAAACTAGAAGCCATATGAGCTGTTATGGAAAACACTCATATATAATAGAAAGTTGTAAAATGTGTTTGCTTAAAGAAGAGGTGAAGAACATGTAGCCCTCAGAATTAGTTGGACAATGGCTTCTATAAGCCTTAGCCAGCATACCCATTGTTGGTTTAAGCCAAGCACTGACTTTGCTTCTGAATGAAATTTGTATGAGAAGACATCTAGTAACAGCAATTCAATGTTGTGTTATGGAACAAAATTTATTGCTATTTTTGCCTTTAACTTCTGAACATATGTGTACAGCCAACAATAGAATTGTAACATGAGTTCTTGACAGTGCATTACAATATTTGGTTTTCTGGTTCTTAAGCATTCATTTACTTGTATAGACATTTTAGAATTAGGATCAGTAATTAGGAGATTCTATAGTGCATGTTCTTCCCATTGAAGTCTAGCTATCCTACAGTGACTATGTCAATGCAACCATTTGTATGAATAGACAAATCTATAACTCGAGTCATGTGGCTGACCCAAAATGGGAGACCTCCTTTTTTGTGGGGACTAAAGTTTTATGAAAAAGGACATCTTAAAAGTTCAGACTAAAGCCTGCAGTATATTTCTTGTCCCCATGACACATCTGCCATGACTATGTTGGAAGATGCTGGCCTTGCATCAGTGCTAAAGCAAGATTCAGTGGCTGCTCCAGATAGGATTTTTATGCAGGAACAAGTGAGCATTCTCACCTTTGTGTCAGGCAGCAAAATAATGGGTGAGGTCCCCACAAATTCAGTCATATGTGAACCCTATCACCTGTTATCTTTTATGATGTAGCATGGTGGTAAATCATGGTACTAAAGCTCTGTGGCATTAATATAAATGATTAGCATACCAGTCCTAAAATATTTGCAATGAAATCAGGGGAATATTATTCCATCAGCATGTATAGGCATAGAGCTTTAGCTTATCCATGAGTTAAACCAAAAGATGCTTCTGATCGCATGATTATGCTAGATATCTTGGGATTTTCTTCTTACTTTGATTCCATCCTTAATGACACTACACGATATTCTTGTATATCAGTTAAGCATTAATATACCCAGGACTAGAATTTCAAGGCTCAGGAGAGTTAAACTGCCTTAATAAATACTAGAGTACCATTGTGATATTTCCTTCCATAGAGGTTTGACAATCACATTGTTACAATGATGTTATTGCTGTTTTACTTTCCACCTTATGTTTTAAAATTAAAAGAAACAAAGCTCCTTCTTCACTTATCAAGTACTGCTATGGCTTTCCTTGCTCCCTCTATACTTTTCTCCCTTTCATCAATCTTGACCTATTAATTTCTCAAACTCTGCATTTGATTTAAGACTGTAAGCTCTAGAAACAGTAAATGATGTGTTATTGTGGTAGGAATAAATAACCGGAATATATCATCTTAGGGAATTCTTCTTGCTAAGTATGCTCTAATATGATGGCCTTAGGATGAGTTGGACTGCAGCTATCAGGATCTCCAGCCAACATGACCATTAAACAAACATTTCTGTGCATGAAGGAAGCTGTAGTCCACAATATCTGAGGCTAATGGAAGGCTTCTCTGGTCATACAGCTTTTGAAAAGCTGACAAGGGAAAAGTCTGATAATAGCCGGCTGCCATTTATTAATCCCAGGGTTATACTCATAGAAAAGGCCTTGTGACAAATGTTTGTATTTGTATTCTACATAAACAATAAATATTTTATAAAAAGAAGAGTATTTATTCAGTTGATATTTTTTCTGGGAACATTATTTAATGGGTGATTTCCCATGACATTACAAAAGAAGAAGAAACTGGGAAACATCAAATGAAAACCACAGAAGAACTGTGAACGCGTCTCAAGATGCTCAAATATGTTGTTGTTGTTTTTGTTGTTGTTGTTGTTGTTGTTGTTGTGTGCCCTCAAGTCTTTTTACTCATCGCAATCTTTTTTTTAAAATATATCTTTATTACAAATTTTCAATACACATATAAAAACAGAAGGTAGGACCGCATGGGAAGAGGGAAGCAGGGAGGTGGGCAAGTGGTAACAGGTCGAGGGGGGGGGGTCGGGTCGAGTGCTAGGTAATGTGTGCAGATGGGGTAGGATGGGGTTAGGCATGGGGAGAGGAAGGGGGAAAGGGATGAGCGGGGGGGGGGAGTTTAAAATACAATGACTTACAGGTTGAACAGACAGATAATTATTTCTTTTGTACACTATTAGTAACTGATAATACATCAGATTTCATCCTATGTTGGTCTCAGTCTCTCTATATCTTCGTGAGGTTTTCGTTCTTCTTTTTAAGATATTCCAAAAAGTTGCTCCAGTCTGTGCTCTTCTTTTTATCTCCACTAACTCTTAGTCTCTGTGTTAGAAGGTCCATATTCATCACATCATAGGCTTTTAGTGTCCATTGTTCTGTTGTAGGGACCTCTCTTGATTTCCAGAGCCTTGCCAGTTGTATTCTGGCCGCTGTCGAAAGGTGGAAAAAAGTCTTACTTTCATTACTATTTGTGTCAAAATCAAGGTCTGTTATACTCAAGAGATAATATTCGGGTTTTAAGGGGAATTTCTTTTTCAAGATTTTCTCTATTTCTCTATGGATTGTCCGCCAATAGGCTTTCACCTTTTTACACCCCCACCACATGTGTATAAAGGTCCCAGTATTTCTTTTACATTTCCAACACTTCACCTCCAGTTTCCCTTTACTAAATCTAGCTAGTTGTTTTGGGGTCAGGTAATTTGTACCAGTTCTCCTTATAGTCATTGGAATATGTGCATTTCAATTTCTTTGACCAAATTCCCTCCCATTCCTTGAAATTGATTGGACGTCCTATATCCTTAGCCCATTCCACCATGTTGTTTTTGACTTGTTCTTTTCTGTTTCCCATCTCAGTAGCACTTGATATATTTTCCGTATGTGCTTTCCCTCAGAGTTGATGATTTTGTCCCAAAAGGGGTCTTCTGTTTTGAAACCTGTCTTATGATCAAGGTTATAGCTTTCTCTTATCTGGTGGTATTGAAACCATGAAAGTGTGGGATCGTACTTTTTTAACTCTTCCTGGGATTTTAGGGATGGTTTGCCTGGTGTGCCTTTTATTATTTCTTTATAGGTCAGCCACTTTTCTCTGCTGGCCCCTCTGGTTTGACTGGGCTCGTTTGGTGAAAACCACAGCGGAACTTTTGTGTGAAATTTGTTCTTATAATTTTCCCAGATTTTTATAAGTGGAGATCTAACGAAATTATTTTTGAAGTTTCTTTCCTTCTTTGCTTTCCCTCTCCATAAATAATTGTGCCAGCCTTGCACAATTATGACCCTCTAGGGCTAGCATCTTTTTCTCTTTAAGACTGATCCATTCCTTAACCCAACATAAGGCTGATGCATCATGATAGAGTCGTAGGTTTGGTAGTGCTAGACCCCCTCTATTTTTACTGTCACATAAGTTGACAAAGCTCACTCTATGCCTTCCTCCTTTCCATATACATTTTTGGATATCTTTATGCCAACTTTCGAATGTTTTCTTTGTTTTAATGATGGGGAGGGTCTGGAAAATGTAAAGCATGTCGGGAAGGACATTCATTTGTATTGCCACTATTCTCCCTAGTAGAGAGAACCTTAGTGGTTCCCAATGTTTTAGTTTTTCTCTTATCTGCGACCATTTTGTCTCGTAATTATTCTTGTAGAGCTGTGTGTTTTTGGCTGTTAAAATAACCCCTAAGTACTTCACTTTCTTAACTATTCTAACCTCAGTTCTTTTTTGCAGGTCTTCTTCTTTCTGTTTGGAGATATTCTTTGTCAACATTTGTGTTTTTTCTTTATTTATCCTCAGTCCTGCCACGGAGCCATAGGACTCCATTTCTAACCACCATTTGTCTATAGTGTTGAGGGGATCCTCAATCACACAGACCATATCATCTGCAAAGGCACGAATTTTAAAACTATACTTCCCTATCGTTAGGCCTTTTAGGTTCTCATTTTTCCTTATATTGTTCAATAATAGTTCTAAGGTCAATATAAAGATAAGGGGAGATAGTGGGCAGCCCTGTCTAGTTCCTTTTTCGATGGTAAATCTAGGAGACATTTGGCCATTAATTATTATATTCGCAAATTGTTGAGAATAGAGAGCTTCAATGGCTTTATTGAAGTGATAGCCCGTGTCCATCTCTTTTAGTATCTCCTTAATTAGGAACCAATTGATGTTATCGAATGCCTTTTCGGTGTCCACAAATAGAAATGCCACTTCTTTGTTTATTTTCTTATCATAATATTCTATGGCATCTACTATTATGCGTATGTTCTCCTTTATCTGCCGCCTTCGCAAGAAGCCCTTCTGATCTTCCTCTATCTTTTCCGTGAGTATTTCTTTAAGCCTGTTTGCGAGGATGCCCGTGAATATTTTATAGTCATTGTTAAGGAGGGAAATTGGCCTATAGTTTTTGGTTTTAGTTTTGTCTGTGTTTTCTTTATATATTAACGTTATATTGGCTGTTTTCCATGTGTCAGGAATTACCCCTTCTTCTAGAACCTTGTTCATAATTTTTAA